AAATAGGGCGTCTTTGCACCCCTGGCTCCACATATCCTTCCCAGCAATCTTGATGGCTTCGAAAAAGGGTTTGCATTTGTCTGAGGAGCGTGAGACGAAACGGTTAAGTGCTGCCAGCATCCCCGTGAGCTTTTGGACTTCTTGGACAGTTCGGGGGCTCCAGATGTCTAGGATCGCTTGAATCTGATCCAGATTAGCTTCGATTCCTCGTTGACTGACCAGATATCCGAGAAATTTACTATACTCCACTCCAAAAATGTACTTTGCTGCGTTCAGCTTCAGCCCGTACTCCCTGAGGGTGGAGAAGGTATCTGCCAAATCTACCAGATGGTCACAACTTCGTTTGCTCTTCACAGCATATCGTCAATGTAGACCTCCATGGTGTTGCCGATCTGCTTTTTGAACATCCGATTCATCAGTCTTTGATATGTTGCCCCAACGATCTTTAGCCCAAACGACATCACTTTATAACAGTAAACTCCCTTTGGAGTGATAAACACCGTCTTTTCCTGATCCAGGAGATGGAGAGGGATCTGGTGATATCCTGCTCGGGCATCCAGGAAGTCCATGCTTTCATATCCAGTAGTGGCATCCACTAGCTGGTCCATCTTTGGTAGGGGTAGTCGTCCTTGGGACATGCCTTGTTTAGATCTGTCAAGTCTACGCAGAGACCCCATTTTTTTCCCTTCTTTTTCGAGCAAACCGTGTTAGACAGCCATTCTGGGAACTGTATCTCCCGAATGACGTTGCCCTTCAGGAGTTTATCGATTTCTACGTTGATCACGCGGCGCGTGATGCGGGGCCATGCGTCGTGGCTTCTGTTTTATTGGCTTGTGCGTCGGGTCAACATGCAGCTTGTGTGTGATTATTTTGGGGTCCACTCCCGTCATTTTCATTGCGTTCCAAGCGAACACGTCTGCATTTATCCTCAGGAACTCAATCATCTCCTCCTGTTCGGCTTCGAGCATCGCGGTTCCAACTAAGAAGTATCTTTCTTCTTCTCCCTCCACCAAGGGCACTTTTCAGAGGTCCTTCACCGACCGTTCTGTTTGGTCAATTCAGGGGTCATCAATTCCTAAACGCCCGGACTGTGATTGCTATTTTTCCATGATCTCTTCCGGAGCTCGCCCCTTTTCTTGGGTGAAAGCCCCTGCTCTAACAGCCGAATAAAAATAAATTTTTGCAAACGCTTGGTCCCCTCGGATCTCCATGATCCCCTCTGGCGTAGCGAACTTCAGTTTTTGGTGATAAGTAGAGTGCACCACTCCCACACATGCAGCCATGCTCGTCCCATGATCACATTATAGGGGAGAGTCCGTATCAATCATGACAAACTCGGTGTTGATGGTGAAGGGACCTGTGGCAACTGGCAATGTGATTTTGCCTATGGGCAGGTCGAACGAGCCGTTGAATCCGATGAGGGGTGTCCTGACCTTGGTGAAGTCCTTGAGGCCAAGACCCATCCGTTTTAAAGTGTCAGAGTACATCACCTCCGAGGAACTTTCGGAGTCTATCAACACCTTCTTGACGTTGAACTTACCTATCTTCAGGGTTAAGACAAGGGCGTCGTTATGAGGAGTCACCACACCTGTCAAGTCCGCGTCGTAGAACGTGATGCTAGGCTCGCCAATCCTGGCCCTTTTATTGGGCGGCCCCCCATCATCCTCGGCTATCTTCCTTGTAAAAGCTACCCTATTGAGATAGGACTTGAGTTCCTTGGACATGGGGCGATCTAGCGGACATACATGGATGACATTTATGACGTTGTCCGGCTCCTCGGTCGGGGCAGGGGTGTGTCTCTCTTCCGGCCTAGGCTCTATATATTCTTTCAAGTATCCGTCTCGGACAATCTTTCTAAGAAAGATTTGTATACCCTACAGCTTTCGGTGCGATGTCCGAAATTTCGGTGATAGGAACACCTAACCTTTTGATCACGGGTGGAGGGATCGCTCTGCATCCTGGGCGGCCACTTGAAGAATGACTCATGCTTGATCTTATGGAGCAACTTGAAGATGAGTTCTTTGAACATAGTATGAACTTTTTTTGAACGACCCCCCTGGAGAGGGTAGCAGTCCCTTTCGGGGAGTATCCTCCCGCTCCCTCTTTTTTTTCTTAGGTTGGAGGGTTCTGCCTTTGCTACTTCCCATCTCGTCCTCGATCCTAGAGCACTTGTTTATTCGGGCCATCAGCTCGCCCATATCCAAGGGAGTCTTTTTGGTCAGGGATCGGTACAGATCCGTGTCCCTTGCCAAGTCGAGCCTGAAAGATGCCGCTGCCATGACTTCTGAGCATCCCTCTACCTTATTAACCTTTTCCCAGTACCGGATGGCGTACTGGCGAAGGGGCTCGGATTCTCTCCGTCTGAGCGTTAGCAATGATCCAACGTCTTTAGGCCGCTTACTCCCCGTAATGAATCGAGCCAAGAACTGCCTCGTCAATTTCTTCCATGATCCAATGCTGTTGGGGAGAAGTGCCTCGAACCACTTCATCGCAGAGTCCCCCAAGCTCATAGGAAACACTCGGCAGAGGAACCGTTGGTCTGAATGATACAGGGACATCATTTGCTTTGTATTGCCTGAGGTGGGCTTCGAGAGCGGACCGCCTGTCATAAGTTTTGAACCTCGGCACGATGAACTTTTTTGGAACCTCCATCTCTCCGATATCCCTGGTAAAGGGTGTTTGTATGACCTCGTCTTCGACCTCATCCTGGACAACCTTACTCTTTCTCCTGAATTTTAACCGGGCTCTGAGATCAATTTCCTCCCCAACGGGATGTCTTTTGAAGTCTCCGAGTTCATCAATAGGTCCCCTATTTCCTAGGCGCCGTGTGGATAGTGTTGAATCCTCCTCGGACTCATCTCTTTTCCTCTGTCTCGATAATCCTCGTCGGAGGTCGTCTAAGGCTAAAGGCCTTGCCTTTCTGGAATGGTCGTTAAGAGGGTGCTCGTTGGCTCTCGGTCGCTTTGGGGCCCTAGAGCTTTCTGCCTTGTTATTTAAATGATTCCTTAGATCCTTCGTTTCTGCCTCCTAAGCGGGGAGCCCACGAGAAAGGAATGAGTCCCTCGACCCTTCGCTGGAGGTGGCGAATTCGTTGAGCCAGCTTAGGACGTTCACATTGTCCTTTTTCAACTGTCGTAATCGATCCCCAAATTTTTCTTCGATCACCTCCGTCAGTTGACGAGCCAAGGGGGCGGATCCTCTTGACCTGATGCCCATACTGGTTTGAGGGGTAAGCACTCTTGACTGAATAGAGACATTTCTATTCCCATCAGTGTGATCCCTCCCTCCATGGTGACATGGAGCTTGTAATTCAAGATTTATTTGTTGGGGACCTTTTCCTTTTTGTCGAGTATTCATCATGGTCACTGTTCTTTATAGAGAAAAAACTAGGAAAACTAGTCGTTTCCTACAGACGGCACCAGATTGTGCGTACTGGATCTTGTACAATATAAACACGAGAATAGATCTCTCCCTTGGTGAACTCGAGTGAGTCAGTTGAGTGGTCAATCCTACTGTTTAGAACAGCTTGTGAGGTCCGGTGGTAACCTGAAACGATAATGAGAGACCCTCGTGGATCAACAGAATGGTCCAGTAAGGCTGAGGAAGGTTCCTGGAACAAAGAAAGACAAGTTAGAAGGGCGCCGGAGTGTTTTTCGGCGTATCCCCTCCGACGATCAAGTCAGTTTTTGAGAGAGAGGAAGAAGAAAATATTGAGTATAAGTTTGAGCAAAGGTTTCACCTTTTCTTTATCTTGCCTTTTGTGAGGAGTATTTATACCTCAAATATTCATGATTGCTGTCAGTGTGGTCAGTAGGTGATCATTAGATACGGGCAACGTGCGCACTGATTCCTATGAGGAATGTCTTCTCTTTTAATTGCTTGGAATCCCGAGTAACCAAGGCTGTGTCATCGGCCTGCCGACTGTTTAATGAACTACTCTCGGCAAGGATGTAATAAATGCCTAGCCTTAGAGACATTTATTACCTTTCACTTCCGAGTCTTACCGCATTAAATGCTGTCTCATCAAGGGAATGATGTAATTAAATACTTGCTTTTCCAAGTCGTGTGCCAGCAAGGGCATCCGGTCTTTTTGTCTCTGATGTGACACAATATGCCACGCGTCCATCCCCCATTGGCTGTGTCCCCTGCCTTCTTGTGCCTTCTGACACCAATTGTGTAAGACGAGGTCATGATAGCTAACCTAGCCTAGCCTAGGCTAGTGACCTGTACATCAATAACCTCTGCAGGAGCAGAGAACACCATCCTGGACGAGGGGTACATCTCGGTACCAAGGGGTATTGGTACATGTAGGACCAATGTACCCTATCCGACCCCGAGAGATACGTGTCGGTATGTAACGTACTGGATGTCATTGATCCCTATCAACAGTACCTCGGGGGAACAGGGACTTGTGATCCGACGGGTACGTGTCGCGTTTATAGGAAAAGAATTCACTGATGCCGAGGACACGTGTCTTCATCTTGGAGTAGTTGAAAATGTCCCATGAGTTAGGTAAGATTTAGCGTCAATCTAACACTTATAAGTTATAACAGATTAAATTAATAAATTAAATTTTAAATAGTATTATTAATAAATAATAGATTTTATTTAAATTTATAATAAGTAATGTCTCAAGAAGTGAAATATTTAAAAAATATGTTAGTGTGGAATTTCGAATATTATACTGTATACGTGATCCTAAGCACACGATCCGACCTTTGTTTGGTCACTAATCCGCTTCATCGCAGCACCCAATTGGTACAGCTAAAACCGGTAATGAGTTATAATCATAGGACACGTGGGCATCACTGGTTGGTCATACGATCGGCTTCTTCGATCATATGTCTAATACCCCAGATCTGAAAAACGGTGCCGTCAAGGTATCCCGTTACGGAATAAAAAAAGGCTCCCCGTTATCTTTAACGGACTTAGGACCACACATAACATAACCCACAGTTTATAGGAATCAATTCCGAACCGTTAAACGAAACCCTGTCAACAGTAGCGTCGTCGTCATTATCATCATCATTTCCCCCCCCCCCCCCCCCCGCCCCAACGAAAAAAACTCTCCCTCTCTCTGTCCTTTTCTCTCTCCAAAACTACCAAAACAGAAAAGGCACCAGCTGAACAAGATATTCGATCTCAGAATTCAAGTACCTCTAGAGAGAGAAAATTCTCTTAGGTTCAAGAAGTGGTCGAGAGAGAGAGAATTGTGAGTGTTTGGATCAAAAAATTACGTATCATGTGCAACTTTTGAGAGAAAAAAATGGGAAAGTACGTGAGAAAGTGTAAAGCGATTGGAGAGATTGCGGTGATGGAGGTAGCACAGGTTGGTGTGAGGATAACTAGAGCTCGGGCGGCTCTTGCCATGGCGGCGGCGGCTACCAGTAGTTCTGGGACGGCGAAAAGAAGAAAGGCTAGCAGCGGGAAATTGGAGTTCTCTGCGTCGTTTGCTCAGCTAAGACGTCGCCGTCGAGTCTTAGTGACGCCAGAAAATTCGGCTTCGCCGGCAACGTCGGGGAATTCGAGGAGACAGACTACTTCGAATGTTCGGTCCGCAAGCCCTACCTCCGATCACATTCTCACTTCTTGTTGTTCGAGTAATGGATCAGGCGAGCTCACCAACGAAAGAGTAAAATTTGTAGATCTGGAGGTATGTGAGCAGTCTCAGAATTCAAGTAGCTTTCACCTCTCCCTCTCTCTCTCTCAAAACGACACACACTGACACACATACATATTCTTCTTGTTGAAATCTCGAATGAATTTTCGATTCTGGTGCTTACAATTGCTAGTGTCATATGGCAGGAGGAGAGTGCTGAAATTGAAATGTCGACGTATGAATCCGATAGCAGAGGAAGAGAAAGGTATACATCTCTCTCTTGGTATATTTAATTTTTCATTTACTTCTGTATATTAATGTGATCTTCTTTGTCACGTCTCTTCAATTCATTCAAAATTTAAAACGAGCGATCCTAAACGCCTTCTTATTTAATTTAATTTTTCCGTTCAAAGTGTGTCTGTCTGTGTACCCCTCATTTCTTCAATTCTTCACAACAAGCGTTAATTCGCAGGAGAGAAGCAACACCGGCAAGCGAGCTTCAAGTGGAATCAGGCGAACTGGAGTCAACGGCGACACCTTCAGAGGCGAATTCTCTCCGCCGGCTAACCGTCGAGAAGATGCCTTCAGAGTCTGAACTCGAAGAATTCTTCGCCGCAGCAGAGAAAGACATCCAAAAACGTTTCACAGAAAAGTAATTCACATTCTGCTCCAGCTTCAATTACTCCAAAAGTTAGCCCTAATTTCGCGACAATTTGTTTTTCATCATAAAAAGGAACCGGAAACTTTTATGGTTTTGCAGGTATAACTATGACATCGTGAAGGATGCGCCCTTGGAAGGACGCTACGAGTGGGTTCAACTAAAGCAGTGAAAGAGAACCTCAATGCTGATTGCTACAACAGCGACAAGAATTTTCTAGCTGCTTTTGGGAATAATAAAAACAAGTAGTACCACTAATTTAATTTCAGATAGCTATTTTTCATGACTTTTCTAGTTTTTGCTATATCTTGTACAGGACACTAGTTCTGTTAGCTTGTGGGTTCGGGATTTATGCGGAGAAAGCTAGCTTCTGCAAAATCGAACCCTGTGAGTGGAAGAACGAACCGTTAAATAAAAGCTCTTTGGTCAGTTTTTAGCCGTAAATTTCTGGTGTCTGCTTCGATAGACCAACGTTTCAGTTAACTTACATATGCTAGTTTTCTCTTTCTCTTTTGCACTCTCTTAATTCTTCCTATATATATATATATATATATTTTTTTTTTTTTTGGTTGCAATTATCTTCACTCCCAAGATAGATAGAAATAATCAAGAAAGAAAAAGTGTGTATTTGTTGATTAGTTGGTAGTCCTTTCTTATTTAATTCTGAATTTCTTGTCCTTTTTTGTTTCTCTGTTGTGATTGTTTTGTTGGTATTTTGTGAAAATCAAAACAGTCGAAAGGGTGGTGGCCTGGTGCGAATGGCGGTGGGGTGGGGGGTAATAGTGTAGTGTAGAAGGGCCTTGCCGTGTAAGTTACGGGCACGTTGTGAAAGATGGGAGAGCTGACCCCCATGTGGAGAAGGGCGGGGGGGGAGGGGGAGAGAGAGAGAGAGAGTGTTATGGCTATTTCCATGCTCTAGGCTTAACCCCACTTTGATGCATTACAAAGTACACCACTCTGAAAGGAGTAGCTCACCCAGCAATAATCACTTTCATCCGTTTGTTGTTTCTTTTTCTTTCCTGATACAAGTTATACTTGTATGGTTGCAAATATCAATTGTATATTCGTTCGAGTGTGTGTGTGTGTGTGTGAGAGAGAGAGAGAGAGAGAGAGAGAGAGAGAGAGAGAGAGAGAGAGAGAGAGATTGGGCGAGTTGGCACTGGCAGGTGCTATGGAGGTGTGGTGGCCCTCTTATTTTGCTTTTTCGTGTGTTATTTTGATATTTTTTATAATTATCCATATTTATTACTACTAAATAACTTCAATAGTGGGGGGAGCTCTTGTTCAAAATACTATGGCAATGATTACGAATCGTAACAGAAAGATAGGCCAAAAGACGAGCACATGCTTCCCAGCATCCTGTATTTATTTTGCTCGAGGTACTTCCCACCATGTTGTAATACACTTTTTACCCTAATATTTTACACCCCTTTGCAATTTGATTTACTGCTTTATCCTGATTAGAGAGAGAGAGAGAGAGAGAGAGAGAGAGAGAGAGAGAGAGAGAGAGAGATGGGTTGGGAAAAGCATAGTAAGTAGAAGTAGAAGTGGGTGTCCATAAGGAATAGAAGCATTAAAGTCGGTGAAAAGTAAAATAAAAACAGAGTAAGAGAATACATAAAAAGCTAACATCGATAGTAATATTTGATAAAGTTTAAGAATAATGCTACGGCGGCAATAAAATTATTTTCGCAAATTGCATTTTTATGCTTACTGAGAATGTTACATGTATAAATTTTTTATTTTAGGTATATTATTTTTTGCATTCAGTAATTATATAAAAATGTATATATATTAAAATATATGACCAGTTTTCGGTATAAAAATTTGTGCATTTTTATGGTTATTGCATTTTCATGTTCATTACCATTATTCTTCCATGAGATAAGATAAGAGAGTCCTTTCAGCAATGTCTTTGTCTGCCGTCAATTTTAGGAGACATCCATGACATTGTTTACCAAAACATCATCTCTTTACTTTATTTACCACGCATGCCTTTGAACAGTTAATCATACCTCAGTCAATGAATATTTAGGTTTGAAAGAAAGTGCAAGCCTTGACAAATTGAGACAATGGGTTTGGATTTATTTCAGCAGTGAATCTAAATCTCAATCATAATCAAAATGGAGATTATTCAGGTAATATTGAGCAAATAAGTTATAATTCTCTATTTGCTCTCTCTTAAAGATATCATAACAACACTTAATCGACCATACTATGTCACTCCAAAATAAAAAAAAACCCGTGAGTTCTTCAGGGTTGTAATACATTTAATTCCTTCAGTGTTCAATTATGGTGCCGCGTGTAAATTATTTTATTCTTTTTTTGATTAACGGTCTGAGATTAATTTTTGATATGATATTATATCTGTTTTATACTCAAAAATAACAAAATTTGAGGGTGATCAGTGAAAATAATTCAAGAAAATTAAGGAAGTTGGACTCTAATAATCACCAGAAGCCGGGGAGACGTGATTTCGTGAGTTATCAGTTGAAGACGCACAAATACAGTTCTTGAGAGAAATTATCATGATTATAATCATGGCCATAAATAATTATTTTGACTGTTGAAGGTTATCCCTATAAATAACTAGAACAAAATTATAAAAAAAGTGATTCACAATCATACTTATTTTTATTTCCAAGCAACTTTACTTTTCTTGTAATCCATCACTCTGGTGATCTTTTATTGATTTCATTTATTGTTAAATACAATACTTGTTTTGTTTTTCAAACTTAATTTTTCTGCTATTTTACATTTTAGTTTTCTTTCTACGTTTTCGTTTATTACATTGCTAGTTGAAAAATTATTTAAAGTCCTTGAACCAGAAATCATAGATTTAGAAAGAACCTTATACTTTGTTACAATTGCCAGAACATTCATAATTTTAAAACTTCACACATGTTCGAATAAATAAGGTGGAACAAGTTTGAATTTTAAGCTCTATCAAAACTTTAACACGACTATAATCTAAAAATACACCAAACAATATCATACTCGCATCATCTGAAATATGTTGGAGTATTTATGATTTGCAAGTTTAGTAAAATTAGTTGGCAATCTTATGATTTTTAGGTGGAGCCCTCATGAGAATTGAGTAAACTAATAACTCTGGTGGGGATATATAAATATAATTTGGTTATGGTGGTGTGTTGTGCTATAGAATCCGACGAAGTTTAAGTAAAGTAGTTTGTTTAATAGCATTAAACCCGTAGGGATGAAGCAAAACGGCTGGTGACGCCGTCACTGTTTACGATAGCATTATATTCCTCTTGGATCTCGAGCCCTACCCCGTCACTTTTATAGTGTAGTGGGACCCACGTACCTGGTTGAATTTAGAAGTATGGTAAACCTGGTTTTGAATGATCTTCTTTCTTGGTTATGGCGATGGTATTGAACTTCTTTAAAGATAAATAAATATATAATAAAATATACTACTCTGGATCCAAAGTTAAAAATATAAACAAAGAAACGAATTATATACTTAATTCGGGTTAGACTATCATGTACAAGACCCACTTGGCCTCTCATCGAGACTAACTTACTTCTCCTTCCTTAACGTCTATTACCATTACCCCACCACTCTCCCTATTTTCTTGTGGCCGGGTCAAGTCCTTCTTCACTATTTTTACAAGGAGAACTTTTCTTCGCATACCGAGCCTCCTTTTCTCTTCCCCTCCAGGAAGATTTACAACTTCGTCTAAAGTATATGGGTCTACCAATAACAACCATGAAACTGGGGTCATGTAGCACATTTTTTCCAAAGAAAAGGGGAGTGGCTTACTTTCACTCAAATACAAATCATCTTTTAGATAAGTAAGTCTTATTAAAAAGTTGATAGAACTCACTCATTTAAGAAATAATGTGTATTTGAGTTGCAATTTTTTAATTTTTATTTGAGTTTTATAGCATTGCTCATATATAATTGATTAAAATTATGGAAAATTGGTTATAAATTGTTGTATTGTGATTGTTGAATAATATTATAGGAAAAATCTCATTTTGCTCCTAAAGGATTTAAAGATTCTTGTTTACCTCCCGAATGATTTTTCACATTGTTTTTCAAAAAAATTAAAAAAATTACAATGTAGTTCACCGTTTTATTTTTCGTTTGGTAGTCTGTTTATTTTGTGTTAAATCAACCAATCAAGAATCACGAAATAGACGGACGACCAAACGAAAATAAGATGGTGAACTACATTACAATGTTTTTATTTCTTTGGAGAGAAAATGTAAAAAAATTAATCATTTGAGAGGTAGATTAAGAATTTTTATATCTTTCAGGGAACAAAATGAGATTTACTCTATATTAATTAATTATCACTTCACTTCCAAAAAGTGCAATTTAACTTTTTAAAATTATAACTTGTTTTTTAGAAGTTGTAGTACCTTACATGATCAAACATAATACATTAGAATCGAGTATGCAATTGTAATATTACAAGCATAAAAACTTGTAACTTAATCTTACGTAATTATAATTTTTAGTACAATACTTTCTTTGGTACTATAGCTTTCGTCCTGATTTATTTTCATCAAACTTGATTTTTTTTGTTACTCTTTCTGGTCTATGAATTGCTTGTCTTTGATTTAATATCTTTTAACGATAGATCACTTGTCATGACACGACGTGTAATCTATGCTGGAGAAAAATTACACTTAAGGGAATGTAATCCTTCATCTTCAACTTGAGATTGAAAATGTAGTCGAATGGGATCATGGAATGGAAAGCAGCACGAGATTAACTTGGAGAAGGTAGAAGTACTAGTACCCAAACATCTCTCTTAGCAAAACTATTTCATCAATTGTTTTGTTTTTATTTTTATTTTTATTTTTTGGCAGTCGAGCTCATGAATGCTACAAGTAGCAAAACTAATTCATCAATGCCATCGGTCTCGGTTTGCAAGAGGGTCGGTTTTTGTAACTTAGGAAGTATTTGTATCTAATTCGAAACCCCAAGTCTAATTTAAGATTGAAGAACTCTAGCAGAGTTCGTGCATCTTAGCCCAGCCTAGTAGCTGGTTTAGGGTAGATAATCAAGTCGAGGTTTGCGAGTTTGAGTTGATCTCATTTTTTTAAATGAGTCACAAAAATTATTTAACCTCGGCTTGTTCGGAAAAAGAGTTGAGTTCAAATCAAGTTCAAAACGAGCCAAACTCGAATAACTCGATTATGTTACATATAAATTAGTCGAATGTTGCAAGCTCGAGTCAAGCCTTTTTTAGACTCATTTTTTTAAGTGAGTCTAAAAAATTATTTAAGTTAAACAAATTGAACTCGAGCTAAGTCAAAGTAACTTGATTTGATTATCAGCTTGTCAGCCCAGAGTTGAAGTTTGTTCTTGCATTTTTCATGCTTGCCAACTTTTCTTTCTTGCATTCTCATGACATTTTAAAGCCTTTTTTCTTTAAGGGTGGGGTTTCTTATCAAAAAGATTGAGATTGACCTATGAATTAATATATTCCTCCTTTTTATAATTGGAGAGAAAGCAAAAACAAAGTATACCAAAGAATAAGTGTTTTTCTTTTGGTATCCGCCTTGTTAATCTTTGCATTTGGGACAGTGACGCGGCTAGATGATGATCTAGCCCAATAACTTTTGAGTCTTACCTTAGAGGCTACTCTTTGGATTTCATTATGTTATGTGGAATGAAGTATAGCATTTCATGGGTCACATCATATAACAAAGTCTTTATTTTATGAAATACTCTTTATTCTAGTTGATAAAAGCGTATCCAAAATACGAGACTTTCGTTATTGTGAGATTTAAGAACAATTAGATATACATGGCTTTACTCCTGCATGTGAAGAGACCGTTTTCGTGACTCTTTGTTACAGCTGATATGATTGGCAACACAGAAGGCTCCATCCTTCCTACCATTATCTGTATTTGGGAAGACGTAGAGTCCATCAATATAGGCCTTACCCATAACCCCAACGAAGGTGTGTTTATTCAGTCCATATATAATTCTGCCTTACAATACCATTTGCTTACACTGGCTGAATCCCACGGTAGTGACACTTGTGTTAAAGTTAAAGGGAAACGGCTTGCTTTGCAAACCATAAGTCTCCTTAAGGAAAGAGAAAAAGTCACCGAGGGCCCAACACAAGATTCGTCTAGAGCTTGACTAGAGGATGGTTGAATACACAAGGAAAAAACTAAAGCACGAACCATACCGATCTATCAATCAAATCAGTGAAAAACCCTCTCAAAAGATTTGCACAAACCAAATCAGTGGGAAAAAAACAAAGAAGCATTTCTAAAAGACTAAAGTGAAGCAAGTGACGCGTGCAAGTGTAGACTAGTACTGTTCTGCACTTCCCTTCCTACATTCAAACACTACATATAGAAAGCAGAGCTGATGAAGATGATTTTCCAAGCATTGCCACTGTATCAGCCTTGAATATACCTACGTTATAGACAGCTTACCAGATCCTTGATCAAGAAATAATTTACAGTTTGCCATTAGCAAATCATTATATCCTGGAGGGTTCAATACAATATACAAATATTTGTGTAACCCTGATACTAAGTTAGAGCAGTTTTTAAACTTCTTCAACAGAAGCAACTGATCTCATAGACATGGATCTCGTGGATCCCTCCTTTGCTACAGAATTAGAAACCGATTTGATTGATTCCTCCTTTGTTATGGAATATATTATTAAGGCCTTCACAACATGTCGAAATTTCCTTCTGTAAGTAGGGAATTTCGATACACTTCTGGCAATTCCCACCATCCTGCAAAGCAAAATCCAGTTGAACGTTTAGACAACGAATTATTATCAATCATGAACCATAAAGGAGCGAGAAGAAATGAAGAATATTTGATTTTCTACAATCAATAGCCAACGTAAACAACACATTTTGCATAATTGGATCAGGTTGTGAAAAAAGGATCAGTTTTGACACCTGTCACAAATGAGATATCCTAGTAATTTATGTTGCAATATGAAGTTGGTTATTCTTGCTATTGTTATAGTGAATAAGAAAGATTAGATTCACTACCCATGATGCACAAACCTTAACTGTTCTGTTCTAGTTTATAAATTTATAACTAATGTCTATCAGGTTTTCTTTCTCCATGTTTGCCCAAAGCAAATTCTCTGAAGATAAACTCCTGTAGTCCGACAAACATAATTGAAAAAGCTAGCCAAAAACAGAGCTGCTATGAAATTCTGAAGTTCTTACCGTCTACTAATACCCTCAATTTGAGCCATTCTAAGAGCATCCTGGGGTGCAAAACAGCCATTACCCCAACCCTTCATGCGTTGAGTATTACTTCCCAGAAGAACTACTTTTTCCAAGAACCTTGTTTCACCCTCTCCCAATTCGATGACCTTGATCTGTTCCTTGAGGACCATCAACGGTTGAAAGAACCAGTCCAAAAGTATGTCATGGGGTCTATTCAAATGGGTGATCTCAAGATTATCGATCAGCAATAAACCATCTGATCCAACTTTAATGGAGTGAAGGAAAGTTTGCAATAATGAGTAACAAGGCAATCCAATGCCAACAATGGGTGCTTCATTACCATTCTTTGCTTTCAACCAATCATAGAGGTCACTTGGTGCTATTGCATTGGCATCCAATAATTCCTTGCCTCTCATTTCACATGACCTCATCATGCTTCCCCATACCTGTTGCATTTTGAGTCAAAACATAAGCTACACTTTTTTTCATCTCAAAGAGACCAATAAAGGAGGTTGTACAATGAATAATCACAACAAGGTTTGAAAAAGGTATCTAGTGGTGGTGTGTTTTTATCTACTATAATTATAGTTCGGTCCTGGATATACTATTTAACCATTGTCATAATTATATTTTACCTACTTGTTACTGTGACTTCTTTACCTTAGTTGATATGTTCTTGTGCAATTCTTACAATCATATCTCTCTGTAGACAAATTATTTGTTCAATTTGCAGTCAAGCTTTGCCAAAACCGACAAATAAGCATCTAATGAAACAGATAATGAATATATTTCATACCATGCCCATACACTATGACCAGATGCATGCTCAGTCCACAACTTCCAATTGAAAAGCTGGATTTGTGGATAAGAAACTAACTCTGAGTTCTCAAATCCACCATACAAATTCTCAAGTTAAACCATTAGTCTACAACTTAAACCTGAACAGCAAGGCATTTCTGCTAACTCTCCCATGTCTGATATCTTGCAAATGTCTAAAGTGTCTTGAATCAGTAAGCAAACCTACATTTGACTAAGCATGCAAAGGAAAAAAAAACAAACCTGAACCATTTTCACTTCTTGGATTTGCTCCCTAACCGATCTCGATGATGATAAGGCTGGCATAAGAATGGCAGGTGCTTCTGTAAAAATAGAGCCGACTTGCCCCTGTCTTGGATGATGTCCTCCAACAGAAAGCTCTGATGAGTGAGAGACTTTTTTCTTTCTGTAACGCGGTCTGGTTGTGAAAAAGATGTTTGTTAGTGTTAAAGATTAATAAAGTTGTAAAGGGGTCATAGCCAGAGAGAAATGATTGGGATAATGATTACTTTGGGAGGATAGATCCTTCTCGAAGATAAAGCCAATCGTTTGTGTACTCATCAAATTCTGCAACCATTGCGATTACATATTTAAGACCTCTCTGGAAAGACCTTTCCTGCATTTAGATGAAGGTTTACCAGTAAATTCAATTCTAACACAGCAAAAATAACAAGAGTGAGTCTTTTCTAAGGATTCGTTTATACCTGATATACTACTATTGATCCATACAATCCTATGAAAAAACTTGAGAAAACAGCCAGTATTATGCTCCCAACAACGATCAGTGGCCACATAAGTATTGTTAAACCAGCAATAGGGATACAAGCCGTTTCTAGGAATGGGCCTTCTCGGCTTATAAGATCATGTATCAGTCGTTGCCAACCCTTAAATAGCATGTATGGACTTTTCAAAATGGCAATAGCTGTGTAAATAGGAATTTCCACAATGAGCCCCATCAACCCAACAATGATACACCCCGGCACATGAATGAACCTGCAAATCAGGTCAGGGGAATCACTTCTATTATGAGTTCGTAGCTCTTTTATTATGAATTCGTGTACAAATTTGCTTGAAGCCAACCTTATATGTTGGAACTGTGACTTTCTTTTCTAAAAATGGTTGTACTTGTCAATCACTGATCAAGAAACATTACCTAAGAGGTTGAACCTCATTTGAACTGGGGGATTCACGTAGCTCTTTCAAGTAGAGCGGGTAAGAATGATAGCAAATATCAGCGAAATCTCGAACCACAGTGCAGCTATCTTTGATAGTTCCCAAGGTTCCATCCTAAATGTTCATACATGGCAGAAAAAATTAACAAGCAATTAATTATTGTAATCATCTAACTGAAAAGGCTGCAATAGAAATAAGGATATAACAGAATTCAAATAAAAGTTTACCACAATGCAGTGGAAGAACTTCTTGGATTCATTGCCATGTCTGAAGGCCTCAAAAGTTGAAATCCAGGGACTGAAGAACCCATATCCCACTCCCACAAGAACACTACCAGCTATGCTTAGACCCAACCAAATACCAAATAAAGCAGGCAAAGCAAAAAGGAGAGCTACTTTAAGTGGTCCATCAAACCTATCGGTCCTGTGAGTCAAAATTTGTGCAACAAATTAAAATCCCTCATAACAATCAAGCTCACCACACAGAAAGACCTTTACTAAAGGAATTGAAAATGAAAGTTTTAAGAAATATTTACTTGACAAGGGTATATACTGTCCAGACAACATGTGCTGGGAAGAGACCCAAAATCACTCCAACATTCCCTATTATCACTATCAGAGCAGCAATTGGACCCACCAGTAAACCTGCAACAAGTGATTGAAACTTAAATTTTATTTCACAACCCATAAATACATAACCAATAACAGTGAACAACATGGGTATAACATAACAATTATAGAACAAAAAACAAAAACCCATATTCGAACTGTATTGCAAACTGCAAAGAAATTCAAACCAAGAGAGAGAAAAATACAAACTTTTGAGAGCACCCAAACAGAGGGCTAAGCAAAATACAAAAACCACATAGAGGACCTTCAACCAATCTTTCAAGTTGTCTGGCATGTTTCAAACAGAATATCTTGTAGGAAGTTGAAGACAATAAGGATATAACCCTAAAAACTTTATTGCTCCCAGCAAGTTTGGACACAAATCATATGAGAGAGAAATAGAGAAGGGTGTTGGAGGAGAGAGAAACGTCAAACTTGGGCTGCAAGAAGAAGAAAAAAAAATAGAACACAAGACTGGCAACCTAAACACATTCGAACAAGGAGACAACAGGTAAAAAGAAGTATTCCCAAGAAAATTGTGTCTTTATTTGTGTTTATGTTGCACAGATATCAGAGAGAGAGAGAGAGGAACATTCATATTCGTATGCAATGATCAGATTCTTATTCTAAAAGCGGTTTGATTGCAATAACTCTTGCTTTCACGGTTCATTTCCTAGGTTGTACCTACACTCTTATTCATTTGAATCCTTTGCTTCATGGGTATGATACAATCTATGATCAGCGGACGCTATTGGAGCTATAATTTACGGGGTTCACAGGGGATTACTTTTACATTTGGCCAACAGGTAATAAAGGGCTTAAATTATGCAGGGCGTGGCTCTCAAGTAGAGTGGCTTGTGCTGCTGGCCATGTGATTTCTACCCACTCTTTGGTCAAACCATCTTATATTAATGATTTTTAAATTTCTTTTTGGGTATGATTTATTATAGCCATCAAGGTGTTGCGATGTTATTGTTTTGATGCGGTCAACATCCGGCCCAAGCAAAATGGCAATGCATCAATCCGCACGGCTAATTCAGCAATGTGGGGTTAGATTTGGATAAATTGTATACCACTAGTCAGGAGTTTAACATTAACCGATATCTTGAGCTTTATTGATACATGTAATTTATGAGTGATTGTAGATACACGGGACCTACGCTTATAAAAATTGATTCAAAATAACTTTGAATTGAAGAGTTTTATTACGGGATTTGAAAATCATCAAGTTAAGCATACGACACACACACACGCGCATACACACATATATATAATAAAATAGTTTACAATTCAAATTTTAAAAGATAAGCAAAATAATTTTTATTTTTCGCAGTTTCAGATTGCTTTAAATTTTACTTTAAAGTTAATCTAACGATTAATATTAACACTCTAAATTTAATAGAAAAAATAGGACTCTAAAGGTGTGTTTGGAATGACTTTTTAAAAATACCACCACCACCACCACCATTGTCATTGCCACCGTCGCTGCCGCCACCATCGCCACTACCGCTATCGTCGTTGCCACCACGGCCACGGTCACGGCCACCGCTGCCACCACCATTGTCATTGCCACCGTCACTGCCGCCACTACCGCTGCCGCCGTTGCCACCATCAACACGGCCACGGCCACCGCCGCCACCACCACCATCACCATCGGCATTGCCACTGTCGCTGTCATCACCATCGCCACTACTACCACTACCACCATTGTCATTGACCTTGTCGTTGTCATTACCATCGCCGCTGCCAGCGCCATTATCATCGCCGCTGTCGCCACCACCACAACCATCACCGTCTCCTACCACCACTACTGCCGTCCACCATCTCTCACTCCCACTATAAACCGATACTTAAATTCATTTATCTCTCATCCATATTTGTGATTTAATTTTGGATATGAATACAAATATGTTTATTGTTTATCATTTATTACTACTCTGTACCTTCAGGCACAAACAATAACTAGTATGTATATATATACATATAACATGTTAACAACTAACTTATCAAATATATTTGAGAACTTATTGATTTATTAATATGTAACACTTCAAGACAACATAGACATGTGAGCATATGAAGTTCGGATTGAATTTTGATTGATTTAAATATGAAACTAAAGTAAAATTTTGATTCAAAACTAATTAAATATTGCACTTGTATTATTTTTCTAGTTTATATCAAAATTAATTGAAAATAAAAAATTCAATCTGACTATACAATTTGACTTGAATAACTCTAATCATGATTAAAAAACTCCAACAAATTTTTAGCACATAACTTTCAAATTTTGCTTAATTTTATCACACAATTACTCGATTATATATATATATATATATATTAAACAGAATTACAAAATTGGTTATAATTGTATTTAAATTCGAATCCATTTAATAGATGATAACAATCATATCATAATTGAATAATTAATAAAAATAAGTGAATCGATTCGGGCAACATTTGATTCATTAATAATACTTACATCTATGGCCTGACCCATGAAACAAGTGGTTGACGATGGTTTTGCAGCTTTTGCTTAAACGGTACAACTAATCATGGATAATTAATGCATTAATTATAATATCATTAATCTTAATTTCTAATCACATAGTCGTATTCAAGATAATTGATAATTAGGGGAGGGATTTTATAATTTTCGTGGACAGAGAGTGGTCAACGCGAATGTAATACGACTTTTTGACGGGCACATTTGCCACGTCAGCTAATATTCGACCTTTTAACCGACCCATATATATATATATATAGATGGCCTTTCAGCATCATGGCATGTGTCATAAACATAGAATTAGATGCAAACATGAAGACGTTGTACAAGAAACTAGTTGACAACGTTGAACTTGTCACACACAATTATTAAACCTGGCCAAAAAGTCAACCCGAAGAGACATCAATTTAATATGCTATTAATTTTTTTTTTTTTAAGATAATATTCCACTAATTCAATCGTTGAATTACGGGGTGAGATCAGTTATCGTGATAAAAAGTAATTATACATAAAAAGAATTATATTATAAACAATAAATTATATCTTCGCTACATCCAAATAAAATGCATAGAAAATGCTAAACATGTTTATAATGCATTTAGAACGATTTGTTAGCGTAAAGGTTCAATTTTAAACTTTACATGAGGCCAATGGCTTAGTAATTCAACCGCTTGGGTCGACAAGACCATAAGTCAGAGGAAGTAGTTAACCAACAAGAATGAATCAGTTTTGTAGCAGAAAACTTAACTCCTGCAAAGCTTACCTTCTAACAGTGAAGGAGACAAGTAACTAGCACAAGGTAAAAGACAGGTCTAATGGTATGACCCGACCTGAAAACATTAATTTTTTCAAGAAAAATAAAAGACAAGCTTCTCACCCGGTCGCCTCCTCAACCTAGGCACCTCGGTAGTATTGTCAGCCTACTGCTCTCCCTCTCCTTTTTCAACTCATCCTTAATCCTCCGTTTGAAATGATAAAAAAATAAAAAAATAGAAAATTGAATGTATAAATAAAATATTATATTTAATAAGAAAGAAATATAGGAAGTATAGAAAAGTAGATAGATTAACTTTCTTTTCAATTCACTAAAATCATTTCCTTCAAAATCGAAAGGAAAGTGGATAAAAAATTAATTATTTGTATTGAAAATATATGTTATTTGTCTATACATTATGTATAAAAGGATAGAAAGTTAGAAGGATGAAAAATAGGAGGGATACACTTTCCTTCTTTTGTGTTTGGTTAGATGGATGGAAAATAAAAATGACTAATTTTTTTTGGTCTCATATTATGGTTAACAATCGAGTCATGTCATGTCAGATTCGTATTGAGTTATAAAATTATGAATTTTTTATATTTCTTGTTTGCGTGTCAAATCATTTTCAAGTTCGTGTTATAAAATTCGTGTTGAATTCTAGTCATATCATATTTTCACCTCTAGTTAAGATGAAAAAAATATTTTTTTTTAATTTAAAATTTTTATTTTTATTTTTTAAAAAAAATATATATATATAAATACATATTTTGTCATTATATTTTTATATGAAATTAATATATACATAATATATAGACAAATAATATACATCTTAACACAAATAATTAATTTTTCATCTACTTTTTTTTCAGATTTTAGAGGGATTCATTTTAGTGAAGTGGAAGGAAAATTAATCTATTTACTTTTTCTATCCTTATTATTTTCCTTCCTTACCAAATATGATATTTTATTTACCCCTCTAACTTTCCAACTTTCCGTCGTACTAAACAGAGCATTAGAAAAATTTATTCATAAAAACAAGTAAAGTAAGAAGCAACCCGAAGCAATATCACAAGAAGGCCGTGAAGAATATTTGCAGCCTTCTCATGAATCTTGAGCTTTCCCACCTCATGCAGGTCAGTCTCAGGTATAACAACAGAAAGTGTCATAACAGACATAACTGCACTATGCAGAAGGCTTTGCATCATAGAAGGCTGAGAAGGAAGACCAGAACTGCATCTGGCTAGCTGCTGAGATGTGAGGACTAGAGGAATCAGAGGAACCAAAAGATAAGGATCATTCTCATCAGAGACTTGCCTCCTCAAGAGAAGTGACCCTTAAGCCTTTTTGCCCCTCACCAAAGGCGACCTTTTTTTAAGATGGAGGGAGGTCTATTGTCATGGACTCCTTGGGATCATGCAAGTCATTCATAGAAGTAGTCACCTCAGGTTTCTTCACGAGTCACATTAGACACCATTGCAACAGGATTTGTAGGGAACACAAAAAAGGGGTGTCAACCAAGAGAAAATAGGAACTCATAATAAAGGGAGAGCAAGAGCTGTTTACTAGTAGCAGCTTCCTTAGTTGGGGTTGTTTCACCTTCCTCAATCGGGACCACTTCTTCAATTAGGAGACCGAGCTAGTAGTTGGCTAAGTTCTCAACTGTCACCTAATCCTTATAAAATTTGGGGTCGTAAGCTTCGGCCTGGGTAGCATGAATCAGCTCAGGCCTGTTCAAAGCTGTCTTGTATCCTGAGATGGCAACAAGAACGGTCGAACAAGTTAGGTCAGGAAATTAGGCACTTTACCAAAAGCAAAATAGTGACAAGACCAACTTACCCGTATTTTTAGGGGCTTCCCAAAGCCGAGGAATTCATTGACCTCTCCTTCGAATTTCTAAGCATTCCTAGACAAAAGAAAAAGTTGTTCTACCAGCCCTTGTGAAAGGAAAGGGGTCAACTAGCTCTGTCGCCTTGGCCCTCCTCACAAAATAATAGAAACTCTTGGAAGGCGAAGACTTTCAAGTGGAAGAAATAAAAGAATTCAGGGTTATTTGGGAAAGACCTTATACCGCTCTAATGCCAAAAAACAAGTAAAACCACTAACAAGCCCCATCAGTTGGGGAATATTCATGGACACATGTTAAAGTGACGAAGGATAACTCGGATAAAAGGGTGCCTGAGAAATCTCAAGCCATCCTTGAAGGCAGCCTAAAAAAAGCAGACCTTTTTTAGAATAGTAAAAGTTACAACCCACTTCTCAAGTAGGAAGATGTACCAGCATGCCATCAAGGAGCACATATTGTTTCCTAATGACCTAAGCTCGGGCTTCAGTAACTCTATTGCGCACCATGGTGGCAACGCAGGTCAACTCATCAAGGTCACGAGCAGACTTTTTTTTTTTCCTTTTTTTGAAGGATTGGCCCCAGACAATGAGGGGATATCACTCGAAGACCTTCTCAGCGTCCTTCTGATACCTCTCTTTGGAGCCTTCTTGGGGATTGATTCCAAGGGAAGGACCTCGTTAGACATCACTTCCTGAAGAATGACCTCCTTAGGCATCACTTCCTTAGCATCCTCCTCAAGATTAACGATAGCCAAGGGATTTTCATCCCTCGGGATCTCATCAAGCTCAAGGTCATAATCCCTATTGGAGTTGCTAAGAGGAAATATAATACGCAAAAGACAAAATCACATTAACCATGGGGGAAAACAATTAAGCCTAAAGTATAACCTTGAGAAGTTCAAGGAGCAATCTTTAATAGCTTGAGGATCATGACACCAATCACGAACTAGTAATGCTACACTGACTAAATTTTGGGACCAAATTTGGAGTTAAAATGACATAGAAGCTGATTTGGGCTTCTTTATTTGATGTCATGTCATTTGGGTCCCAATAAAGACTTCAAATGCTATGCTGCCATGTCATTTGAGCTTCAAATTTGGTCTTAAAATTTGGTCAGTATAGCATTACTAATCACGAACTAAGAAAATCCTAACTACGGAGACTTGGTCAATAAAGAAAGGGACGAAATCTAGAGACCTATTAAGACTCCTAAGGCAATAAAATTTGAGAACAGGGAAATGGAGTCCATGAGACCACCATCAGGGATCAAATCGATCCAAATTGAAGGCAAAAGAAAGAAGATGTACCTAAGGGAAGGAAGGATGACCCTACAAAGGAGACGCTGGGAATGCTAAACACTAGCATATGGAAAAGCAATGGTAAACTCTTTATGAAACTCTCTCTCTCTCAATCCCTCTCGGAGACTCTCTACCCTAGAGATCTAAAGAAGGTAGAAGAAGAAGAAGAGAAGGCTTCAGTGGAAGGGGGAAGAATTTAAATAGGGTAAATTGTAAGGGGTACACCAAATTAGACTTATTTGACAAAAAGTACACACTAAACAATGTAGAGTTATTAAGTATTTAATTTTGATACTTATTTGTATCTAAATACATAATTTGAATTTATCTATTTTTCCTGTGATATTTTTGCCCTCCATCAATCCATGTGTATTTAGTGCACCACTTTTCTTTAGAAAGTGGTGCATTAAACATCTTCTAGTTTTATAGGAAAACTTTAATATATATATATACTTGTTGTTAAATCTCTTATCTAAATTTTGAATTATCTTTTAATGCACCTCGATTCACGTTTTTTTTAGAAAGTGATTTTATTTTTATATTAATTTAGTATCCAAATAGTGTAATAGTGTAACAATAACAGTGTAACAATATAATGTGTAACAATAAAAGTATAACAATGTAACAGTATAACAATAGTAGTGTAACAAGCTATTTACACAAAATATTGTACTATTACATTTTGTCAAACATATAGTTGTATATAATTTCATTCAAAATAGTTCATCTCCGTTTTGAATTTGTTACCATATACACAAAACTATTGAACACTGTTTTTGTTACAGTGTATTTGTTACACTGTCTTTATTACAGTATATTTGTTACACTGTTATTATTACACTGTTATTGTTATATTATTACATTATTCAGATATTAAATTAATTTAAAAATAAAACTATTTCTCAAAAAAAAAAAACGCTAGAATCAAGGTGCATTAAATATAATTTGAAAACAAAATCACTTTTCAAAAAAAAAAAACGCATGAATCAAGGTGCATTAAATATAATTCAAAATTTAAATAAGAGATTTAACATATATATATATATATATGTGTGTGTGTGTGTGTGTGTGTGTGTGTGTGTGTGTGTGTGTATAAATAAGTATATATATTCATATATATATACATATATGTATTTACATGTATTAANATATATATATATATATGTGTGTGTGTGTGTGTGTGTGTGTGTGTGTGTGTGTGTGTGTATAAATAAGTATATATATTCATATATATATACATATATGTATTTACATGTATTAAAAAATACACATGAATCAAAGGTGCATTAATTACGTATTTATATATGATACGGACGAAACTCAAAGCTAGGCCTTGATGGTCCAGACGTCTGACCAGCCCAAGAGGTCCGAAGCAGAAAAGCGGGACCTGGCATCAGCAAAAGCCTACAACCCAGCAGTCCAGGTCCAGCCCAAACTATAAGGCGATTCGGAGAGTAAAAGCCCAATCCAAGCTATTTTTGGATGAGCAAAGAAGACCACGCGTCCAAGGGGACCACCCTTGACACTTGCAGCAATCCCAGAAGGTGGAGCACCAAGCTGCCAGAGATCATGGCAACGGCAGCGCCGGATGAACAGTGATCGTGGTGGCAGAAGAAGCAGGAGGGAGTCAGAGGAAAGGACAGCTGGAGGCCCTAGGAGAAGCTGGTATAAATGGACAACGATAAGAAGAGGACTACAACGGCATCTCCCCCAACAAAAAAAGATCGAAGAACATTTGAGAGGTAGAGAGTGTAGAAAGCTGAGAGAGAATACCAAAATAATCATTCTTTGTAAGTGGATCTTGAGTCCCAAGTCACTAGAGGCATTTTACCGGCCGATAAATACATAATCCCAATGAGCAAGAGACTCCGTTGATAGTGGACGTAGCCTTAGTCCTTCGGCTAAGGTGAACCACTGACATTCCTTGTCCAATTGTTCATAAAAGATTAATCCACAATCTGCAATATCATTCTCACAATATCACCCCATCATAATCGGGCTTGGGCCCTAAAATTCGAGCACCATCAGTTAGCACCATCTATGAGATTGTTTTTCATCGTTTCCTTATCTGATTGCTATTTGATGGTTTCAACTCAGAATATGAGTAAAGCTCCTGCTAACCCTCAAGCCCACCAGAACCTGCCAGAAGATCCCACGATTCCAGAAGTGGACACCACAAACCATTTCACATCGACGAACCTTCCCCCTCTCGAGGGGATGGATACTTTTCATCGAACCACGATACAACTTATGAAACAAAACCAGGAGCTGCTGGAATGGATACGAACTCACTAGCTCCCTCTATTCCCACCAGCTCAACAAGAGCCCCCTCCATCGGTAGTAGGTTACGACGTTCCCCTTTGAGGACACCAGGCTCCACCAAATGGGGTCACAAAGCTCCACGAGCACAACCACTCTAGAGAAAACCATAGGAGAAGACGCCCTGAAGGACAAAATGAGGACGAGGCCCATAGTCGAGCCACCGCTGCCTTCCAACAGGATATATCTCACCCTCCATTCGAAACAGATGATCGCATATGGGGGCAGAGAATCCGTGAACTCCAGCGAGAGCTGGGCAATGTGAAAGAAGTGGTTAGAGGAAAGGCCCCCGACACCATGGATGCCCTAGTCCAGCAAATCGAGTCGCCATTCACACCTGAGGTCCTCCATTTCCCTCTCCTTCAAAAGTTTCGGATACCGTCGATAGAAGCATTCGACGGGACCAAAGACCCAGTCGACCACTTAAACTCCTACAAGAATCAGATGGAAACTCCAGGGGTATCCCAACCCGATTCGTTGCCAAGCTTTTGCTATCAACCTAAAGGGGTCGGTAATAGCTTGGTTCAATAGGTTACAACCGGCATCAATCTCCTCCTTCAGGGAACTGTCAATAGAGTTCGTCTCACATTTCATCGGAGCAAGGACGTACCGAAAGCCATCCTATCACCTACTGAGCGTCAAACAGGGATGAAATGAGTCCCTCAGAAGATACGTGCAATGCTTTGACCAGGAATGCCTGAAGGTGGAAAGCGTGGACAATAAATTCACATTAACCACCTTTATGTCGGGGCTCGGAGTGCAATCCAAGGATCTTCTCTTCTCGATTGCTAAGAATCCTCAGGCTACTATGGCCGAGGTGTTAGCAAAGGCTGAAAAGTACATTAACGGCGAAGAGGCTCTTCGCCTGAAGGAAAGTTCGGTAACGCCGAAAGAGGACAAGAAGAAGCAAGACCATAGCCCTAAAAGAGAGAAGAGGCGCGACCGTTCCCCGAGAAGAGACCGTTCCCCGAGAAGAGACCGCTCTCCGAGAAGAGGAAGAGAGGCTTCCCCCAAAAGGAGAAGAAATGTCTGAGATTAGCTAGGACCTCCTCCGCAAGAGCTACAGCCGCGGTATGCTCCAGCTCGACTCCTACCCCTTGTCATCGATCGCTCAAGTCCTCCACGAGGTCCAAAATGAGAGGTTTATCCGATGGCCATCGCGAATGAAATTCGACCCTAGCAGGCGGGGATGTCACTAAGTACTGTGAGTACCACAAAGACACCGGCCACGAGACAAACAACTGCATACAACTCAAGAAAGAGATAAAATATCTGATCCAGAGGGGACACTTGCGCCACTACTTGGCGGCAGATGGAAGGGCTCAGAATAATCAAGGCCGAGAAGATCGAGCTGCCTTGAAGCCCCCTTAGCAGCACCAACAAGCCCTTGGTGAGATCTGTGTAATCTCTGGCGGATTCGTCGGAGGAGGCGAATCCATTTCAGCACGTAAAGCACATGCTCGGAAGGCACGTACGGAAAGACCACCTTGAAATCCATACTTTACGAAAGGTGCCTCGCCGAGAAATGGAGATCACCTTCTCAGATGCGGACCTCAGAGAATGCCAACAGCCACATGAAGAACCCCTAGTCATAAAGGTGATCGTCGCTAACAAAATCGTGCACCGAGTACTCGTCGACAACGAAAGCTCCGTTGATATCATTTTCTTGTCAACTTTCAACCAATTGGGTATAGAAAGGTTGAACCTCAAACCCGTGAAATCCCACCTACTGGGTTTCTCGGGTGAAAAGGTCCTACCAGTTGGATCCATCCAACTCATCCTCTCCATCGGGGAACAGCCCTGCCAGGCTACGACCACCGCTCAGTTCCTGGTAGTAGACGCTTCGTCCGCCTACAACATCCTGTTGGGTAGGTCATCTCTCAACTCCATTAAAGCGATACCTTCGGCATATCATTTGGTGATGAAATTCCCCACGGAGAATGGGGTCGGCATGGTCAGGGGAAACCAACGCTTGGCCAAAGAATGCTACGTTGCGTTGATGAAACAAAGGGAGGTGGAATCGGTCTAGCTCAAGGACCTGGACATGAGAGACGAACTAGACACCACGCCTGCCCCTACGGAGCAGTTAGAGCCCGTGCAGTTGGACGAAGACCCGGGGCACGTGGTGTTCATAGGATCAATGTTGCTCCCGTCAATCAGGGAGAAGCTCATCTCGTTCCTAAAGGCAAATGCTGATGCTTTTGCCTGGAAACAAGAGGATATGGAGGGAATAAAACCGTGCAGTGATCGTGCACCGTTTGAGCGTTGATCCAAGCTACAAACCTGTCAGGTAGAAGAGAAGAAGCTTCGCATCGAAAAGGCAAAAAGTCATCAACGAGGAGGTAGCTAAGCTATTGCGGGCCAAGGCCATCAGGGAGGTTGATTACTCAACTTGGCTCACCAATGTCGTACTCATAAGAAAGGTGAATGGCAAGTGACGATTTTGTATCGACTTTATCAACTTGAACAGGGCATGCCCCAAGGATAGTTTCCCCTTGCCTCGAATAGATCTGATTGTCGATGTAACCGCTGGCCACGAGCTCCTTAGCTTCATGGACGCATTTTCAAGCTACAATCAAATCAGAATGGACCCCAACAACCTAGAAAAGACATCGTTCATCACAGAACAAGGGGTATATTGCTACCAAGTGATGCCCTTCGGCTTAAAAAAGGCCAGAGTTACCTACCAGAGACTAGTCAATAGAATGTTCTGTAAAAAGCTCGACATGACCATGGAAGTCTACATAG